GAGCCGGCGTAGCTCAGTCGGTATAGTGACTGGCTACGGACTGGGTGACCGGGGTTTGATCCCCAGCGGGGGCAGAGGATTTTTCCTCTAGCCTCTGCGTCCACGCCGGCTCTGGGGCCCACCCAGCCTCCTCTACAATGGGTACCGGGGTCCTTTCCCGGGGGTAAAGCACGGCCGGGGCGTGATGCTGACCACTCACCCCCATCTAGTGCCGAGGTCAAGAATGAGTAGTAGCTATACCTCCTCTCCCCCCAAGCGCCTACATGGCGTATAGTGGGACAAACTTTACTTTTACTTACAGTTTTGATCTATAAGTTCAGTCAACTGACATGCAGTCAGTAGCCTTGTAATATAGGCCTTTTTTGAAAAATTTGAAGGGAAGTAGGAAATATAAGTTGTTCTCCGAACTTGTTTAACATTATTTTAATTTACTCTTCGTGGAAACTGTTGTGTATCTTATAGACTGACATTGTTTGAAATTTATTCTTTCCGAGTATTTGTAATCGTTAGACTAATTTAACAAACATTTCTCCCATTACTGCTGGTGTCACAGTTTATTTACGTATGGTATGTGGTTTTATATTTCAGAATAATTTTTGCGTTACTTCTGAGCATACTTTTCCACAAAACTGGCTACTATGCAGGTCTAATTTACAGTAGTTTCTCCCTTGCTTTTTTCTTGGTGAGTACCATTTAATTATGTGTATTTTATGTATTTTGGTTGTCACTTGAGAACTGTAGATTAGAATGAAGCCCAATTGAGTGGGCAAAATTTTGCATGTATATAACACTCAAGATTCCAAATTTCTTTATTCATAATTACAGTTTATTTTTTTCCAATATTCCACATCATTTTCATATAATTTCTGCATTACTTTTATGATCTTCATTCCAAGAACAACTATAAATGTTGTATAATTTGTTACGGAATGATGCGTCTTTTATGTGCAGATTCGTACTTTGAAGGTGCAGGTCCTGCCAGATGGAAGTTCACCGCATCATAATGACCCATACACGCACAGCAGTGGCAATAAACGAAGAATGTACCTCCTGCTGTTTGTTGCGGGAATCCAGCCCCTCCTGATGTGGTGGCTCTCGTTCCATCTCATTTCTCCACCCACTCCCAAGTCTTAACACATTCTGCAACTGGTAAAGTTGAGACTTGTTGTGCATAGTCATTTTGGCCTTCTTGTGTTGAAGATTTTTCATTATTCTAAACATTTTTCATATAAATTGCGCTGTATGAAAGTTGGACAGAAGTTGACCTTTATTTTTACTGTGAACAGGAACTGATAATTGTGTACTTCCTTATGCAAGCCAGTACGAATAGCTGTTAAATGTAATTTAGGCTGCTATTTACACTGTGCTTCAGTAATGGAACTGAATTTATTTCTGTTATTGTTCAGGTTCAGTTTGCACAAAAAATGAACATAGTTTGTAGTGCTTTCAGTTGACATTCTATCTTGAATTATCTTATTTTAATTTTACATTTAAGTTATTCATTGAATTATTATAGTGTCATTGAATTTCTGCTTTGAGGGAGTCATACTATTTGAGTATTGTTCGCCGACCCCCTTTTAACCCTATAATTATTTTTCTTATATCAAAATTTATGAAAGACTGAAAATATGAAGACAACATAAATTGCACAATTCAGATTATACAGTGTGTCCACAAAGTTCCTTCAGGGTTTTGAAAAATTGTTGTGCGCAAACAAATTGAGCTAGACATATGTGGTTTGCGGCAGATTACAGTGAAACTGGAAGTTTTTTACTGACCTCAGTAGATCTCGATGTGGGCTCCCTTGGTAGCACGGAGAACGTCCAGACGATATTCGAGCTCTTGCCATGTTCTGTGGAGCATGTCCGCTGGAATAGCCAAGATCGCACTCCTGATACAGGTCTTCAGGTCATCAAGTCTGTTAACTGGTGTTCGGAAAAAATCCAGTGGTGTTATGTCTGGTGAACCTGGAGGCCAGGGCATTGGACCGTCTCTGCTGATCCATCTTCCTGGAAAACCGCATATGGCCAGCTCAATTTGTTTGCGCGCCACAATTTTTCAAAACCCCGAAGGGACTTTGTGGACACACTGTATTTTGTGTTCATGTTTACAAAATCAGATTTTGTTACTTTGTGGTCACATGGGGTATGTCGTCTCCTGACAAAGTGTAAAGAAATGTTACAGATATCAATTTGACAAAAGTTGTAAGACAATAATTTGATGGTTGGAATAAAAGTAAAAGCAAGAATTAACATTTTCAGAGATTTTAAGTTATCGTGGCATTGGAGATGGTGATAAAGATCTTCTGGGTTTGACATTATGTGGTCTTGTACATAGTTTCCAGCATTTCCCTGAAATGTTGGTAACCAGCATAAGAGATCACAGATCATTAGAACTCGGAAGACAACGATCAACACTAGTATTACTCTTGATTTTTTTGAATGAGAAAATCTATTAAACAATTTGAGTTTGGTATGAAACACGTAAGTACTCCTCATTTCCAGCACAGTACTTTGGGAATAGTTGCACTCCCCGGCTTCCTGCGTTATCCCCTCTCTTCCGTAAAGAGAGGCCAGTGACTGATCTTACCTCTTTGAGCTTCAGCTGTGGACACAACAGCTTTTGGCTGTCTTTCCATCAATTTCTGTTTTTACAGAAGTGGAAGGTGGTCTGATTGTGCAGTATCTTGTGATAAGCTGTCAAATATTTACCAAGGGCAAACAAAAGTATGACAGTTCTAAATTTGGAACTCTTGATTTGTTTCAGAACTGTATTTGTGTAAGTTTTGTAACAAATATATAGTCATGTACTTATATAAACAGATTGAATGTCACATACATATAAAGAGATTTGATCAGATTTGTGCAGAAAATGACATCATCACAGAATTGTTGCCTGCAGATAAGATTTTTTTAACTTCATAATGTCTCACTCAGCCACTGAAGGTTGATTATGTTTTCAACATAATTATTGCCATAACAAATTACTGCTCCATCTATTCCTCATGACCTTAATCCTAGATATTTTATTAGGTTCTCAGCAGGAGACATCTAATTGCCACAAAACCTTCACAGACATTAAACTGAGCTTCGATGTTGAAAATGCATTTTATAGAATATTTTGTTTTTAAAATGAAAACTTTTCTATGAGTCTGTTCTGTCATGGCTCATGGGCCAGTTTTGAGTGACACTTAGCCTTTATTATACAGGATTTAAAGATTTAATTTCTCATTCTGCGGGGCTGCCAGCTGGATTATATAATTCATGTGATTTAACAGTAGCAGTATTCCT